CGACTAAATTTGACCAATCATCATAGAATTTTAGTTTATTTACATTAATATTCTTCGCATCCTTTCCAGTTCAGTGGAGGTATTTCAAGCCCCACATCTTCTGCTGCTCTGCACTATTCAAATCCACCATAAAATCATCAATCGTATCGAGTGGTATCCTGACTTCACACACAGTAAACGTAGCAGTAAACACAGCTCGGTACCTGATATTGATAGCGGAGATAACGAGGACTGCAGAAACTGGTTAGCTGTTGGTGGAAATGATCCACCAATACACGTTTATGATCTAACAGCTATCTTATGTATGTACCAGTTTAATTTGGCTAGTGAATTTCATATACCGGTACCATATTTTGTCTATATCTTGGTCAGACCTCTCTTAGATTTGTTCATTTTATGATCATATCTTTAATTTTGAAGAATATTTTGTAATTTTTGGTAAAAAGTGATAATTTTGACTTCTTGTTGAAAATTAAAAGTCTGATTGCTTTGATATTATGCATGTAGGTACCTCAGGTAGACCTCTTTCAGATTTGTTAATTTTGTGATGATATCTTCAATTCTCTAATTTTGATGAATATTTTTGTCCTTTTTTGAAAAAAGTGATATTTTCGACTTCTTGTTAAAAACTGCTAGTACATTATATACATAGGAACTACATTAGATCTCTCTCAGATTTGTCAATTTTGTAATAATATCTTTAATTGAAATGTGAAATGTTAACAGCGGAGCTATCTCAGTCGAGAGGCTGCTTGTCTTCTAAATTTTGTTCTTATTTGTTTGTTACATGTTAACAAAATGTTTATTTACAAACTAAAAAAAATAAATCGTATTTTTAAAAATGTTGAACTTTGATGAAAATCTTACTATGTTTTCCCTGTGCAATCATCAAAAGTTGATAAGAGCAGTGAAAGGTTTTTCAGATGTTTTACTCCGTTATTCAGGTGCTGGAGTTCCTCTGCATACACCGGTTACTGGCAGTTATATTACACTTAATGGACATTCTCAACGAGTGACTGGGTTGTCGTGGAGTCCCCATGGTGATAAGAAATTGGCCTCTGTTTCTTATGATGGAACTGCTCAGGTAACTTGTTTCAGATTATTTATTTTTTGCCGGAATTATCCAATATTTAAGTTAAGTGATATTTTCTGTCAATTATGGGTCCTGTGTCCCAGGTTAATGTTGATCACAATGTTGATCTGAAGCATTTGGTATAGGTGATTTGATGACAATTTCAGAAATTGAGCTAAGATAAATAATGACTAAGAAGATAAAGAAGATAAAATTCTGATACGAGTTTTGATTTAATAAATCTCAGAATGAGTGGGAGAGGGTTATTTCCCCTGTATTAAAATTGGAGGAATAACTTCATGATTTTTAGTCAATATGCCAAGCTGAATGAATACAAAACTTTAATTAGAACGAGTCGAAACTTCATTTTCGCAGGAATGCAAGATGGAATGGAATGATTTTAATCACAATTGGTACGAGTGTCTCGCCTCTGAAAAGAGACACAAACACTACATCTACACTTGTGTATACATATCTTCTATGACTTTATTGTAGGTATGGGATGTAATGAATGGAGAACCCATTGCTAACTACCGTGCTCACCATGGCAGACTGTTCAGTGTCATTTGGAGTGTGCTGCATCCTGATGTAGTGTACACTGGTGGTGAAGATTTCACACTACAGAAATGGAGAATATCCCAGCAAGAATTCATCAAACCGCCTAAAAGTAAGTATATTTGTCAGCCTCATACTAAGACACTGTCAAGAGAAAAAAATATGTGATTCATCTGCACTTGTATTGCTCTCTATCTCATTTTTAAGAGTAAAGTTGTGGTTATTTAATTTGAGCATGAAACTACACACCTTCTTTCAGCAATTGAACTTTTGCAGCCAGAAGCAAATGTGTGCAACTTCACAAATTCAATACACACATTCTCTTATTATGTAATCTACTATTTAAATGTACAAATGATTGACGTTTTATACTTTATCTTATAGACATAAACACATCCCATAGCACTGTTTGAGTGGGGAGAGGTGTTTATTCCCCATCTGGGGAAAAGTCAGAAAACAAAGGAACTAAGGGAAGAGTAGGAAATCAAACGGGCGGTGCACCGCGGTCATTACCGCGGTGGTGGTGGGTACTCGCCGGTCGACCGCATTTTATGCAAATTTATGCATAGATTCCATGACCCCGGTTTACCGCGGTCGTGTGCGGTGGGCTCGCACAGCAATTCACACTTATTGTCAAGACCATTAATGAACACAAAGAACTGAGAAATTAAAAGGATCACAAAGTTCTAATGAAAAATTAAACCAATTTGGCCTAGCCAAAAGCTAGGAAAATAGTCTATAATAGTTCACATTATTTTATTTGCCTGAGCTTTGGAATAAAATCACAAAACGATCCAGAAAGACGTAGAGATCAACATAATATAAAATAAGATCGCATTATTTTGTGAATATATATCATGCATGGTCTCAGAAAATGTTTAGAAAGATTAATGTTTCGCGTAGACCAAATATAATCACGCATAAAGTATAAATTCAAAGTGTT